GTTTAAATAAAAAAGGTTTAAATAAAAAGGTTAATTTTAGTTTAAATAAAAAGGTTATTTAAAACCTTCCTCTGCAGTATTTATTCTCAAAAGACGTGTCTTGATAGCAGTTGGTAGTTGTGGACTGTATATTAATTCATAAAAGTCAAGTTGAGAAACTTAACTTTTATTTTCTTTCAAGAACAATAATGCCACTTAAACGGGCAAAGAGTGAGTAAGAAATAATTACCAATTGACTGCCGCTCTGTTCGGGCAGAGGAATGGAGACTCGATGTGGACCGAGTGCATCCCTATCGCTTACTCATTAGTACTGGGCTCTTGCCACTAACATTACGTGGCGCTGCAAACGTTACGCCAGTACAAATAGACAGAAATATTCTAACCGAGACGGAACAATGTGTATTCGATATTTCTTCTATGTAGAGTCAACAGTGTATGGTGTCAAAGAGAAGCCAGACTCTATAATGTTTTCTGACAATGTGGTGCTACATATGAACATATTACTCTCTAATCTTTTAGACACTGTGCAAGTTATTGGCACCTTACATGACCTCCCACATTGATTCTCATAGGAAATGCTCTTAATGACGCCAGCTTCCCCAAGTGCGGAAATAATTAAAAATTTTCCTTCCCCATTGTTACAGTCTTCGGGAATCATGTCACCCCAAATTACAAATATTTGAGCATTGAGTCGATTATTTCTTGGAAAAGCATCTTTTCACAATTTATTTCTGCCTTGTTTTTATCATATTCAGAAACATTCATTTCGGCTAAGTGTGACATTGGAACAGTTAAATGGGGAAAAGTAACCATGTATCATTTTCTTTACTAGTTGTTGTTTGTATTAATTCTCCTTATGACTTTTAGATTTGGTATGTTGTTCCTTACTGGATGGATAAACTTTAGCAAAATGTTTTTCTTCACTGCAAAGAATTTCAACATTGAGTTATGCAAACTCTTTAGGTGTTTGCAATTTTCTTGCTTTATATGTACTATTGTCTTTTCAAATTGAAGGATGATGCTGATATGTCTTTAGCTGCTTAAAAACTGAATAATTGATGCAAAAGCAAAGTTTAAAGTTGTAAAACAAAACATTTAGCCAGAAGTAGCAATAGATCCCTAAGGTTATATACTGTGCAGACATTGAAGACAAAAGTTTTAAACTTAACCAATTTATTAACAATATATAAAAATAAAAACACAATGAATAAATTTAATCAATATCAGAAACTTAAAGAGTATAACATAATCATTATAAAAAAATTACACTTAATTGATCATCCATTAACCCCAAGGGATTGTTCCTTTAAAGAATGTTACACTATTAAAGAATATTTTACCTGATGTCTCAAATACTGGCATTCAATATGCGAAAAAAACATATCACTAAACAGAAACTACTCGGATTTATAATGAAATTCGCTACACTATCAATAAGTCCATGCTTCGTGGATCAAGAAGGCACCTGAAAAATTAAACTGAAATCCTTGAGAGCACTTAAACCCGGCAAAAAGCCGCTCAATGTAGTTACACATGAGAAATCACAGCTTGTGAAAAACATCACCGCTAATTCTGAAAAACACTTGTGTTGAAGATGCCGCCTTCATGAAAACAGGATGCCGCCCACGGCAGTCGCTCACATTGTTGCCGCTTTTCAGGATCCAGAAAAGGTCATCTTTCAGAACAGAATCATGGCACTAGTTGCTGGCTGGCATGCATCGCAATATCGTCTTCCAATGGGGGCTGGAACGGCATACCACGGAGCAAAGAAGCAGGAACCAGAAGGAATAAGCCAGAGTGACGCGAGGTACTTATACCTGAAGTAGACATGACGTCATCTCACGGCAGTCAATCAGCTATCGGCACGACTCAGCTTTCCAGATGATGTAATGTCAAGTTTCGTTTTTGCATCTTAATTAGGCTGGAACAGTCCGTTCTTAATACAAACAGTGGCAGTGAAAAACGAAGTAACTACTATAACCCTTTAAAATAAGAACTAAGCCTTATGTAAAAGTTAGAATTATTTCAAGGAGGAGAGATGGTGCAGAAAAAGGGTTGCAATAGGTCATATTATCCAACAATAATCAACCACATTTTGACTGAGTTCATAGATGTCCCATCATTTCAAAAAGTCATTTAAATCAGTTTCTGTGCTGGTCATTTTCCTTTAAATTGCTACTGGATGCATACCTCTTATCATTCTCCCTCATAATCTCATATTTGTCTAAACAATCGGTTAACTCGGAAGAAATTACGATTTTAGCGTTAGTCATCTATAAAATATTTTATTTAACTCAATACTCTGCTTTTTATTTGATCTGATATCATGAGATACTTTAACTGATCAAAGGTCACAACTCTTAGACTTGTATCCATTCTTCAGAATAACTGGTTATTTCAAAGGCTTCTCCATGTTTTATCATAAGATTTCGATCCAAAAAAACTTTGGCAAAATTTTTCTGGACTTAATTAAATCTCTTAAGGAGAAAACTTTTCTCTAGTTTGGTAGTTTCTCATGCTATTACTTCTGCTATTTCATGAGGCAACAAGATTAGATGACAAACCCAGTCCATTCCTTTATATGAGATCTCCTAGCCTGCCTTTCAAATAAAACGTAGTAATGCCATATTCGGATTGATTTGTTTGCGTTAACTTTTGAAGCTCGCAACTCAGTTTTATGCTCTCATTTAACTGCCCAAAATGTCTCTTGCCTTGGCATTCTTACTAAACCATAATTTCTTAAGTTCAAATTCTCTTTTCTTTACTACTACTTCCAACGCTTCTCTTTCAGTTCTTTCATTTTAAATGTGTTTAATAATTCCATAACAAAAATCTCTTCATATTCTTTGCTATCCATAATTATTGTCTTTAAATCTACTACTATATATTCTGGAAGCACTTTCTCCCCAAGTTCCTCAGCTAACAATTTTAAAACTTCTTTTTCAGCTTTTCCAAGAAAAGTCATTTGTAATACTTTGTAATATGGTTACTTAACAATAACCAAAACTAATTATAATTGCTACTTGTGTATGACTTTTTACCAATACATAATATAATACAATCAGATGTATAAACATAACATTTTATACATCACAGTGTTATACTTTTAACTTTTCTTATTATTTGTCTTTAAAAAGATTGCATTCTGTACAATGTTACCCATCTTTACATTAACAATACTTCAACTTCTTGGTAACAATGTTTTATCTTAACAATTATTTCACCTTAATTGTATTTCAACTATTAATTTAAAACATTAATAGTAATAAACTCATTATTACCATCTATCCATACTTAATCAGTCAATCACTTATTTATCCTAAAGTGATCGATAAAAACATAAATTTTGTACTGATTGCTTTAAGAATACATTCAAAACAATTTTACCCTTTAGCGATTTTATGCAGAATACTGTTTGCCTGAAGATATTTTGCCACAATTTCTTTCGAGCCCAACAGTGGCCGAGCGGTAAAGTCGCTGAGCACTGGTAGTTTGGTGTGAGGTTCGAATCGTGAGAATGGGCTGACTCCATGGGTATTTTCTTGGTTTTTTTCCATATGTAATGTGTATATGAGCCAGTTTTCCTTAGAAAGTCTTCCACCAAGGCATCCTCCTTAGGCAGGTAACTCTAGTGCACTTTGCCACAATTAAATAAATCAAATCAAATCACAGTTTCTTGCATTGTATCTCAAACCCACATATTCAAATTTTTTGAGTTTAGAACGAAAATTAAGATGATTTGTATGTGAAAACTGTTTGAACTTCAAATACAATTAAAGAATATATGCAAAAATATTCGTTGAAATTAATAAATTGTTCAGCACATGGTTGTCGAAGTTTGACACAGTTGACAGAGTCCTGAAAATTTGGCATCTTCTTCTAAGGTGATTGCCCCAGCATGTAAGTTGCTTTTCAGAAATGTTATAATGAAAGTATTTATGTAGGATCAATATTTAAGGAGAAATTTCTACAGGTACCATTTTCAAATACACTACATAAAATAAGAAAATATAGCTTTAAAATACATTGTGCTATATTGTCACAGTGGAACCTCAAGATAAGAGTTTAATTCATTCCAGCATTGAACTCGTATAGCGAATTTCTCGTATCTGAACTTGACTGTTGATGATGTGCTATATTGTCCCAGTGGAACCTCAAGAGCTTAATTCATTCCAGCATTGAACTCGTATAGCGAATTTCTCGTATCTGGAAACAAACTTCCCCATTGAAAATAATGGAAATCGAGTTAATCTGTTCTGCACCTCCAAAAATATCAACATAAAAATCAAATTTTCTAATAAATAACATTGGTAAATAATACAACCGTAGTTTACCTGTATCATAGCTTCAAACACTGACCTTTTAACTGCATCTCATTAATCCATACAAACAACAGCTTCTCAACATCTAGCAATTTTGTATGGTGCTTGGATGTAATGGTAACTCCTTTGGCTACATCAAGTTTCTTAATTTCTTCGTGCTTTTTCAGAATAGTGCAGATCGTTAATGTCAAAAGGCCGTAAGTCTGCCAATTCCATCACTCTTACACCACACTTATGTTTATCTATGATTACTTTCTTAATTTCAATGGCCATGGCTTCCTTATTTTTGTTTGCAGCACGATCTGAGGCAGCAATCTTTTTGGGAGGTTCACGATAAATTTAATAACCAATTGATTCGCAAGTGCACGAACATGTAGATCAAAGAACTCCAAGTGATCTGATGAGGGGATTCCCCAAGTCGAGCTGGATCAGGAAATGGTGCAGCACATATCAACAGCCTGGTTCATTGCTCATTTCTTGAGTAAATGCTCATATTTAAAGACAAATTTTTCGCTCATACTTTCCTTCGTATCTCGAATTTCTTGTATATAGAGGTGCTCGTATCTAGAGGTTCCACTGTATTTACTTGTGTTCTTAGAATTACAGGTTGCTCTCAGAGGTAGTTGAGAAATTTCATTGTATTTTAATTTGTAATTATTATATTGTTATTATTGTTAGATCGAGCGTTTCTCAAAAGAAGTAGAAGTGAGAGCATTAGTTGAAGGCCAGTTTCTTGCAAGGAGAGTTCATGCAGAAGACTTTGGCTTTTCTATACATTCTGCTTCAAGAATCATTGCAACTGGTGGAGCTTCAACTAATAAATCTTTGATTCAGGTATAATTATTTATTCTATGGTTTAATGTAATTCACAGTTTATTTGGTATAATTGTTCTTCCTATAATTAAATTGCAAATGAAAGAAAGGTGAATAAATCAACTGCAGTTTATTATTTGATCTAAATCTCTTTTAGATTTGTTCTCAGATATATTTTGTAACCAGTATTCTTCTTTCTTATTTTAATTGTTTTATCTTCGTTGAAGGCAGTATAGAATCAATAAAATATCAGTTAAGGCTTCTTTCAAATCTTATTGCACAATACTTTTTCCTTATGTAAATCAATCACTGAAATTTTGAAATGAAACTCGAAATAAAATGTACTTTATAAATGTCATATAAAACTGTATGGTTCTGATTTTAGAAGCATTTTTGACTGAAACAGTAGTCACCTGATACATCAAAATGTTAAATGCATGAAGAGCAGTGAACTTCTCAATTTGTGTGTGAATGAAGTGTTAAAGTGCAAAATGTAGGAGTTAATTTTAAAATTCCATATAGATTTCAGCTTAAATAACTAACCTGTTTTTATGGTCTTTCTCAAATTCATATGTTGTATTTTCATATCAGATTGTTTCGGTTTAATTAGAAGCTTTTTGTATGAACTTTGTGTTTATCAGACACCTTCTATAGATTTTATTAATAGCAGTAGTATTTTATTAGGTTTTTTTAAAATTATTTTTTATTTTCCTTTCACCGTGCTGACAGCTGTTATCTCTAGGATTAGCAGTCTGGTCCAAATGGAGCAAAAATAGACTGTGTATCAACAAAAGTAAACTTCCCTTAAAAAACCATGTATTAATGTCAACAGTATCAACATTTATAGACTGCAAATTCCTTTTAGCCAGCTATCCCAATTATTGCAAAACCATTGCCAGTAAACTTACAGAATGGCGCTTCAAGCACTCAGGAAGTATGAAATGCGAAAGAAGGTATGTTGTTGGTCTGCTGTGTCAATTCAGGCTACTCATGTGGTAGCATTATAAGGTATTTCTCCTTCCAGCATGCCATTATCGTGTAACAGTAGCACACTCGGCACGTATTCGAGAGGTCTAGATTAGAGTTCTGGTGATGGCATTGCACATTTTTCACATCTCTTGCTTCAAAATAACCAAATGTTTTACAGTGACACCCAGACTTAGAAAGGGTGATTGAAAATAATTCTTCACCACCAGGATTTGGCGATTGTGTTCCCTAATCTCCAGTTGCCCTTTAAAAAGGGGAGCATATAAGGTATTTCTCTCTCCATCCAGCATGCCTTTGTGGGTGTAATGGTAGCACACTCGGCCGAGAAGTCTTAGCTCGAGTCCCGGCGAGGACATTGCGCATTTTTCATGTCTCTTGCTTAAAAACACTTAATGTTCTACAGTGTTTCTTGCATTTGTAGGTAAAAATGCTCCAAAAATTCCAGTGACAAAAGCATAGTTTAATGTACTTGATTGATACGCTTTCATTGAAGTGGCCTGGTCATTTCAGAGATTCATCTGGCACTATTATCAAACTGTTAACACATTCGAGAAGTGTTAATTGTCAGTGAATCTAACAGGACATTCATGGCATTGATTCTAATGGGATAGCAGCAGAGCTAAGATAGCAAGTTTCTCTGAGGTATGTGATAATGAAAGCTGCTGTAATTATATTAATGGTTTAGCTGTCTGCCATTCAGAAACACTTATGCTCATCTCTTGATATAGTGTCATGAAACATTATTGCAAGAAATCTGGCATTGAACTCCATTGTCTGCTCCATTTCCATGTCTACCACTAACTCCTGGGCATCAACAATAACATAGTTTAGTGTCATGATTTTAAAGCTTTGAATGCATCTATCTGGATCTGTTTCATGTTAGCAGTAAGATTTTTTCATGGCTCAAATGAACTTAGCATTTGCGCATGGAGGAGGCAGGGCCAATGCTCACTTACATTGTCACTCGATGTTATTGTTTGAAGTGCCGTTAACTCTTATGCTTTGCCACTTTAGTAGGATCTGCTTTATATTGTTAACTTCTTTGCTTTCTAGCACAATGCATAATCTTTGCTATCTGTGTCAGATTCTATATTGCTGAGGTCATGTTATTATAGCAAATAATTCAGTGTTTGCTCTTCTTTGTCTTTTTAATGAGCTAAATATTCATAGCATGCACAGTTGCATTTAAAATAGAAATATTTCTATGTTCTGCATTTTAAATCTTCTATTACTTCTTAGGTGAAAAATTGGTAAGTTTGTTCATTCTACCATTAGTCAGGTTTTAAGTAAAACTGTTTTTGTCTTAATATGTAGGATCAGATGAATTCACACATCATCTTCATGCTGATTCAAAATCTTTGTCCTAAATGCATATGGTGCACAACTTTTGCCTTACCCTGCAGATATATGTATAGGTAATTTATAATAGCTAAACTACTGAAAAACAGTAAAAGAGGGAAATATAAATATTCCTTTCCCCCCCCAGATGGAAGCAAAGATGCAACTTTTTAGTTGTTATATGTTTAGTCTTTGTAATTCTGGATTGTAACTGATTTGCTGAAGAATAAAGAAAGAGCAACAATATTTGTATTCCTAAAAATGCTGTGCATTAATGCAAGTCCAAACTTAGTATGAAAGTGATGAAATGTCAAACATGTTTGATAACTTAATTTTTACACTTTTTAAATTTTCATGGGTCATCAGTTGCTACATGATTTTTTTCTGTAATTCTTCTTGCAACTTAATGTTACTTATAAATATGAAAAAAAGTCATTTGCCTATTGAAATAAATCATTAATTTTTAACTTCTTAATAATTGTAAGTAAAATTTGATTCAGTTATTTTATTGCATAGTTTGCAATGCTAATTAATGTTTAATGTGCTTACATCATTTAAGCATTAGAAGGGAAATTTAGCACATATACATTACTAATATATTTTCTCAGTATCTTATCTCACTTTGATAAGATACTGAGAAATTCAGAATTTTATTCTGAACACAATTCATTTGCTTAACAACATAAATATGACATAGTTTGCCTAAGGTGTTACACAGCTTCTAGATAAGGGAACACAAAAGTGTAATATATTTCTGTTTATATATGTATATGTATAATTCAAAGAACTAATTAAATTACCTAATTTTATACTTAATACTCATGCTAAAGCTAATAAGTAAGAAAATAAGAATTTATTTATTAGCTCAGTTTTGGATTATCTCCTAGGGAACGAAAGGGAATTAGGAAAATTAATAAAAAGTGAACTTTAGTAAACTGTTAGTAAAAAACTCTGTTAGTATTATCTATAGTAAGTAAACAATTTTTTTATTAAAAGTAATTTATGAAAATGGTATAAAACGAATATGATAAGAGAAAAATGGATCAATTATTGCTGTTAAATGGAAATTAATTGCCTTTTCAAGAGAAGCAAGCCAATTTCCGATCAATTAACAATGATTCATAGATGCAAATGTGTTTTGTTGTCATAACCCGTTAGCCACTGGTGTTGCATTGACGCAACGGTCAAAATAAATGCGTATATACATATAACTACCTAAGATGTTTTTATACCAACAGATGATTTTGTGTAGGGAATGTTATGAAGATTATTTCTGTAAAAAATATTTGCCTTCAACAATCATTTTGTTTATAATAATTAATCTCATATTTAAGCAAAATTTAAGTAAAATTTTCGACCGAGTATTTTTGCTGAAATTATTTAATGAAAGAATTGCCGTCTTTATGAGTGATCTATTTTTAGTCAAGGTCACCGTTTATCAGAACATTACATCAGTCAGATGTTTATATTTGTATTGGGAAGGAAGGGAAAACAGGTGTTGCACTGACGCAACGTCAGCAGGAAATGGGTAGTCAATCTCCTTTTTCACTCATTCCTTTCGATGTTCTGGTTCATGTTCTGGTTGTTTAAAAATGCCTAGAACGAGGTATCTTACATTAGAACAAGCAATTCAAAGGTTTTTTTATGAAGAAACAGATGATGATAATGTTAATAATGACCAGAATGAAACTGATATTATTGTTGTTCCCCAAGAAATTGCAGAAGCTAGTGACGAAGAAGAAAGGAATGGCAATGTTTTAAATAATGATAATGTTTATCAAATGATACTACTGGGGAAGTTGAAATGAACGTAAGAGTTAAGTTTCAGCCAAGTTTCAGCCATCTAAAAGCAGTTATAGTCATACTAAAAAGCTTAAAAAGCAGAAGACTGAAAATCTTAAAGTGGATAAAAAAAAGAACTGTTAGTTATGTCTCAGGAAGAACATGAAGAAAGAGATAGAAGAGAAATGATAAAAGACAAAATATGAAGGTAAAACTAGTGCACAGGTTTTCGATTTTCGTTTTTTTTTTAGACATTTACTCTCTTATCGTTGAACATACAAATATATATGCTCAGAGGGGGGAAAAAGAATTTATTGCATCTGAAGCCTATATGAGAAGATTTATTGGAATATTATTGCTTACAGGATATCATTCTTTACCTCAAGAAAAAATGTATTGGTCTTTTGATAAGGACATTTCTGTTCCTGTTGTACGAGAATCGATATCACGTTTGCTGTACAGGAATATGAAGCAGAATTTGCATTTAACAACAGTCAAATTGACAATACTGATAAATTATATTAGGTGAGACCGTATCTAAACTTACTAAATATCACCACTTTTTACTACTGGAAATCTCTTTTAGATTTCAGATTTAAGTCTCTTTTAGATTTCAGATGCGAGAATGCATTATTCCTTTTGCAAACTCCTATTGAGAGTGTAGAATTAACCAGAAATAGATCAGCAAGAGGAAGACCTAGTAAATTCAGCATTCAAAAACCATTGGATGGAGATGGTAGACATTTTATCATAAACTCCGTTGATAACGAAAGACTTTGTTGTAAAGAGTACCATAGCCAGACTGTTTGTAGATGCTAAGTATGTAATGTAGCTTTACATTATGATTGTAATCAAGCTTTTCATGATTGAATATTTCAATTGAAATAATCTCTATTTGTAAAAGACATACAATG